TTAAAATGACTTAGATGGAGCTGGACAATCCACCTCGTTTTCAAATTTTAGATCAAACGAAGTGACAAATTTCAATTGACTGTTTATAAAAAAAGATGTGAAAGATGTTTTATATTTGACATAAAACTGTCTTGTATAACGGTTCTAAATTGCGATCTGTCATTTAGAATACCAGTACAAGTACAGAAGCCAGTACAAGAAGACAGTGCAGAAGCCAGTACAAGAAATAAGTTGACTTTACGGCAAAATGGATATCAGTGACTAAATGTATTCCTCAAGGATCAATCCTGGGTCCGTTTCCATTTGTCGTTTACATTAAAGATTTACCTTCTAGCTGTAAAACTTCAAAGTTTTTCTTTTTGCATATGAATCTGCCATTGTGTTAGAAAAATATAGTTTTTCTCTGGATGTTTCACAAGTCAGTGACTGGACGAAATCAACTCATCGCACTCTAAATAACAAAAATTACAAAAATCCTGAGATTTTCTCAGTCAAAAACTGCAGCAGCAGATTCAGTTAAGTTAAAAACAAAGCAAGTAAACAAGTTCCATTTTGTAAAGTTTTTCCAGTATAATTAGTTAATGAAAAAATTGTGTTTTGATTTTTGGATAACAATGTTTCAAACAGAGTATCAAAACTCTTTGGTCTTTTTTAAATAAAAAACTTGTTTCACTGGAAGCTGTTAGTTACTACGAGAGTTTCATTAAGCCAATCATTCAGTTTGATGTTTTAATAAACAGTTGCTCAAATAAAAGTCTGAATCAGGCAGTAAACCTGCAAAATCGAAGATTCTTTTTTTTTTCAAAAAATACCGTCCTTTCTTCGGGTACTGGATGATCGGAAATAAAATCTCCAGTGCTTTGGGATGCATTTGTAAGAACTGCTCAATGAGGTAGTCAAACAGATTTCGAAAACTAGTAATTTAAACTGTATGAATCTTGTGCAACCCAGTCGAATTCCAAGTCTAAATTTTGCGTTTTTCTTCAGTAGTAGGGAACAGTGTCAAAAAAGGCTTCAAAATAGGATGAACAAAGTATGCAACTACTTTGGTGCTTTAAATGGCTTAGAAAACATTCCTGATATTGAGTGTCGATTTTGTTTCAGCTGCTTTGTTCACAGAATTTAAGACTGTTCTTTTTAGATCTAAACAACGTTGTTTTTGAAAACTGAAAAAAAACTTACACTATCTATTTTGGTGTTGAGAGAACAGTGGGCTTTAAAAGCTTCGATAATTTTTAATCAAGCATAAATGTGGAGCTTGCATAAGAAAAATTCTTGAATTTTGTTTTCAGCTTGCGTTCAGTAGACTAGAGCCCCTATTGTTTTGTTTACTGTCACATGGGCTCAGTTGGGTGTTTTCTTTCCAAAACTGTCCTCTCTGTTCTACAAGGGTTGTAGAGACTCTTGGTTAAAAACAAATTTATTAGAATTGGGATCAAAAAATAAACAAACTCAAGAACTTTGAAAAAACTGGTTACAGGGGCCTGCGACTATCGAGTTTCAGAACCAAAACAATTTCACTAGTGTTAAATTTGAGAAAAAACTAAGATCTCGTGTTTGGTTTGCCATTTTATATTATCAATTTCGCGATAACTAATCGACTAATGCTAAAGGACCTGCCTTTGTAGCAGTAGAAAAAAATTGAGTATCACAAGTGAAAAAAAATTTTTAAAATCAAATCAGGTGAAATTATTTGTTCAACTCCGACATCAGGGCTAGCGAAGTGGCTGATCCTAAGCAGAGTTGCAGTCTTTAGTCAAACCTATTTTTTGTAGATAGATTGAAGCCAAACTTGTTACGAGGCTTATGACTTTTTTGGAACTCCCCTCATTTACTTGTTTATTTTTTAAACTTTTCTAGACTATCAGCTTAATTCGAGCCTCAATCAGGAGAAACATGTCCTTTTGAAGGATTTCAATGAATGTTAGCTCCTGCTGTTTCAGATTTGTTTGTTAACGTTAGCTTCCCCAGTTAATGTTTGTGAAACTCTCTGGCTTAATAAGCTGACAAGAAACACCAGCATAAAAGATAATTTAGACTTAAGCGGATTTTTCTCAGGAAATCGTATTTATTTGACGATCTGTTGTGTGATTAAAATCAAAACCTAGATAAAAAAGACAAAAACTGGTCTTTCGGTTGACTGAAATTTCATTTCATTAGCCTGTCGGAGTTCTCGTCAATTTAGGTGGGTATTGTCAGCTAAATATAACGGTAAGTCCCAAAGATAGGAGGCGACGTCTTTTTCTCAAATCCCGTTATATTGTCCCTATATCTTCTTAATTCCTTCCTTAATTGAACCGCTCATTCTTTTTATTACCACCACATAACAAACCTGATCCGACGTTATCTGATTTAATTAAAAATGTTAAAATCTATAAGCAAAATACCACCAGTTTAGTAGTTTTTCATCACAAAAATTCGCAAATCACACCGAGTGTTTTTTCATTTTGAAAAACGTTCAGCAGGTTATTACAATTTTTGCAATATCCTTTCGTAAACGAACATTTCGGACCTTACAAATTTTATTGAAGTTAGCTATTTAACAAAAGTGCGTCAGTGTTATGATTTATTTCAGGGTCAAAATCAGTCTAAAATCGGACACGTGTTGTTTACATGTTGCATCCACCCCACGTAAAGACTATAAATCTAACCTTTCTGAAGTTCATTTTGTTGTTTATCTTGACAACACCCAATAAATGAACCTGAACATTCGGACAATCAAAATCAAAATTTTATTTGAGGAGGATTTGAGGGTCGTTTTTGACCGGACAACGGATGCGCATGACGGGCAAATATTTGGCCCCGATTGAAGTGTAAATCATCTTTTCGCACCGATGATTATCTTTTCGATGTCATAATATTGTTTACAATCAAAGGTTTCAAAGGTTTCTTTATTATAACTAAATTCAGATCGAAGTTGAAGTTCATTCATCAGAATTTTCCGGCAATATTCTTAATCAAAAATTTTGTCTTGCAAACAGTCGCGTTCATCACTGCAGAAAATTTTCAAAACTGGTTAGTTATATATATTTTTTCAATTTTACTTAATTTTTTTAAACTTAATTTCGAGTTTGTTTCTTTAATTGAGTAAGTGTCTTAATTTTATGATGTTTAAATTGAATCAACTTCAACTGTTTCGATCTTAGATTAGAGAAAAATCTATTTCACAAGAAAGTTGAGCTAGAAAAATTTTAGAAAAACGTAGAAAGTGAATCATCCAAAAAAAAATTCAGCATATTAAGATTTCAAGCATTATGATTTTCTGCCATAGGTTTTATCAGCCCTATTCTCATGGGCGGATCTAAAATTTTCTCGAGGGGGGGAGGGGGTATGGATTTCAAAATTTTCTCCAAAATGTCAAAATTTTCTCCCAGAATACTATAAAAACACTATTTTGACAAAACTTTTCGAAAAAATTTTCAAAAATAAACAGGCCAAAAAAGGCGTTTTCAGTCACATTTTGGAAAGTTTTAACGAAAAAAAAGTGTTTTTTCGGCGTGCACTCTCCCCTAAAAATTAATTATATTATATATATATATATTGGCGCCAAAGATGCCTTCAGAAAAGTTTTAGGGTCCGTCAGCCAAAAACGGATATCTCAATAAAAAGCATAAGGAGATTTTTTGGGGCGCTATTCTTCTCTCTACATCTCTGGAGCTGGCTTATTTGAACGTATCAATTTCTTGCTAGATGGGGTATTTCGGAAAACTAATTTGGTAGATCTAGAAAAAAAGGTCGACAAAATTTTCGAAAATTTTTTCGCAAATCCCCCCCCTCTCGAGTAAATCCTAGATTCGCCCGTGGATATCAGTATAGTTATTGTATCAAATGTAAAATCCTAAGTCTACGAAATTTTGCAATTCAAAACAAGAATACTGATCTTTTTAAGTGAACAAAACAAAACGAAACAGAATTGACATAAATGTACGAAACTTATCCAATTTTCTCTATTTTCTTAAGAGAGTCAACGAATGACAACGCTCAAATGTGAAATGCTTAATACGTTTACTAAAAAAAGTTTGACACAGCTAAAAATTTGGCAGTTTAGGTTGTTTGCATTGAACCCGTACTCTTTTTTGGCATTTGGTTGCTCTTTTTAAATGAACGAGCAGTTTGATCATTGAAAAACATGCTGTAGTTTTGGTTTTAGCAGTAGTTTTAGCTGTTGTGAAGGTAATTATATGCACTTGTTTTTTTGTAAAGGAGCCTTTGATGCCACTGCATACTAATTTTGATAGGGGAGCCCTTCAAAAATCTTGCGACAAGTGCTTTACGGTGTCAAATTTTTCTGGTTTGATCTAAAATTTTTCTCTAGTCGCTTTTGATACCACTGTATACTAGTTTTGATGAGGGAGCTATGAAAATCATTTTTGTCGACCTGAAAACTTTTTTGCTAACTTTCCAAGAAAACTTTTTGAAAAAAACATCCCCCTCGCGCCTCTGGTTTCTGCTAAACCCTGGCAGAAACTCTACAAAATCTCACACTTGACTAGAAAATTTCTTTTTGGTAGTCGTCCTAGTTCACAGTCATAAAACTTTTCAAGTTAAAGTAAACAGGTTAATTATTGAGAGCATTTATTTTGCCTAACATATCTGTCTGCGAACGACATAATGACAGGAAAGTTTTAATGAATAATTATTTTGAAAAAAAGACCAAAAGTTCATTTTTAGAAAATTGCTTGAACCGTAAAAAAGGAGGTTTTGTCTCTCGAAGAGCGCGTCGATGATTCACTTTTTTGCAGACACGAATCTGGCACTATTTATTCATTTGTTTAAAAGTGAGTTTTTTGCTCTTAATCAATTTTGTGGTCCTGTCAGTTCTTTTTAAAATCTATTTGTGCGTTCTCGTTCTTTCTTTGTTTGAAAGTGTAAAAAATCATAAGTGACAAAATAATTGACACATTTTGGTCTATTTTTTCTTTTTTCTTCATTAAAAATTCTCATCATTAATTTGTACTTTTTTAACAACAAGAATTAGAAATTTCTAGTCCATTTGTTCCTAACTACACTGTACAGTTTGACAGTGTTACAATTACATAATCACCGCAAAATTACCTGGACAACCATTGAGAAATTACGTAACAAAAAGACAATCAAATTAAGCACCTGTTCCTTAATAATGAATCATACAATGCTGAACTCGAATTAAGTTATCGGTAATTTGTATTCAAAAAGCACATCGCTTGAATTTTTAGAATTAAAATTTACAAAATGATCATTTGAACTAAAATAAAAAATATCAAAATTTCATTCACCCTTTTTTATTGGATTCAGCTGTAAAACAAGCGATTGAAATTTTCCTTTTTAATTCTCAATCGATGACCGTTGTTGTAAATCTTGCTTTGTTCACATAATCTGACTCATTTTTACAATACCTCAGGTCAAATAGGAACTGCCCTTCTAAACAAACCAGGCTTCCACGTCAATGTAGGTTTAATCTCAACTTCAATAAGCCTTTTCATCTTTATGCATATGGTCAGATTAAGCATTCTTACTTCAATACGGTTAAGTCTTGATGATACTTGAATCAAATGGAAATTATCTTTGTCCATGAAAAACGTTTATGATGGTGTCGAATTGAGGATCAAGTCTTTAATTGATAGAAAAAACGTCGAAACGATTTACAACCGAAAAACAAGGTAAGATTCAAAATTTTTGCTTTTTTCGAATCCTTGCCCCTAAAATGTGGGTATACTTCATGTAAAGACGTTACTTCACAAAGCGACCGCTGCCCATTTTGGCTGACCTTTTGGTGCTGTTTGCACCATTAATACTAATTTTAAAGGGAGATCGCGGGAGATGGCGCGCCAAAAAAAATTTCACTAATGGGGCAAAAAAACTTTACAAAACCAGCCAACAACAGCATTTTTAGCCCTTTTTTCAAAAAAATGACAAAATATATGAAAAAATATTTTGAAAAAAAAGATTCTTTATTTTAGATAGTCTTGTTTTGAGATAGTATGGTTTTAGAGTGTTTTGTATGAAAATCAAATCGGCAGACCTAAAAAAAAAGTTGGGTTTTTTTCCGAAAAATTTACTGACTATCCCCCCCCCCCTTAAAAATTCCTGCTAGAGGCTCTGAAAGATGTTAAAGTTATACAGTTTTGTTTTGTTAAAATGTCATTAAAATCAGAAAATTCAGAACGCACTGATTATAATACATTTTTTCTATGTCGTTAAGATGATTTTAAGGGAGAATACTTGAATCATGCTCACCTTTGATAATATAAATGTCTCATAAAAACACCGCCTGCATGACGTCGCTTTAGTTTACGTTTAACTATTAGTCAATCAACCATTTATGACATCCAAATGCCAAAAAGTCCAAAACATGAAAATTCGCGACTTTTCTTACCAATTGCTTTTAAATTGAGCGAATTGACTCAAAATAAGAACTGGTTTCTTGGCAGAAATAAAGATAATAAAACATTAGTTTCACGTAATAAAACGCGGATCAGATTCAAACCATTCGAGTAAAATGAATTGAAGAGTTGTTTACTTAACGCTTCTTGATTATTTACGTTTTGTTCACCTGTAATTGGCGAATAAAGAGTTGGTTGGCTTCCCACGTTGGTTAAAGTTTGCCTTATGTTTAAGTTTTTATTAGCCGAATGTTTACGATCAGTCGCGACAAACTGTAAATCGGTTCACTCTTAAATGTTGTTGACCCGAAAATAGTTTTGAACGAAAAACGCCCGAAGTTAACAAGCTTTCTGATTGACATTTGACATCTTAAAGAGCAAACAAACTGCCTTCATTGTCAATCAACTCTTGTCAAATCCGACTCAGCGCATTTTTTTTTCTTCAAGTTTTTATCTTTTACCATCAAATTCCTTGATTTCTGCTTCAGCTATTATTAGTAACGGGTTTATTGCAATAAAGATAAAAAACAGGTTTGTATTTTTTCCATCATTTGATATTATGATCTTGATTTTGGTGACAAATTTTGTTGAATGTAACTTTTCTGTGTTAGGTAATTGTTTCAAATTGTAGCAAAATTGCGTTGTGATATTTTTTGAAACTTTCAATTTCTAATTAAATTTATAAAATGAAAGATTTTTTTGTAAGAGAAATCCAATAGTTTCATACAAAAGTTTTCATGACACTAAAATTCCGCTAATATGCCAGGACAACGGAAATTTTTAGCACAAAAGTTTTTGAAAAAAAATCAAATAAATTAAGTTTTGTTGTAGGATTAATCCGGATGAAAATCTCACAAATAAAAATTTTTAAAAAATCTAGAGAAAGAAAAGCATTATTTCGAGAAATTACCAAATAAATTACAAATAATACAAGACTGCTCGTATATCAGGACAAAGCGTTGAATGTTCCCATTGCATTTTAAGGCCAACTGAATTTTTTTTGCTCGAAAAATTGACTTACGGTCAGAAATTTTTTTTTGTTTCCTTCTTCCATTTATCCCCCACACACTAATGTAAGTAAGCTACAAAGGGATATATTTATTGTATCCTAATATTATGACCAAATGACATGACTAAAATCAATTTGAAATGAGATAATACGCCGCTTAAGCGTGCTATAAGAACGCAATATATCGCGCGTAAAAAATTATCCTAAATTAAAATAGTTAGAAATTTCAAACCTGTTTTAAACCTGTTAGTAGAAACTGTTTCGTTCTGATTTATGAGAATAGGAGAAATCATTTTTGTCCAGTAGTACTTTTAAGCCGTATTGCACTCCTATTGAACTTCTAGTTTAGTTTTTACATGAATAGATTTATCAACCAGCCAAGGATGATTAGCTTTCTCCTGTCTTTTTTCCCAGATAAAACGTTAAGCAATGTCTAATAGTAACTTTCTGTGTTACTTGCACAGCCACCGAGAATGCTTTTTTTTCGCATTCTAATTCAAAACATCTAAGCAGAAGCATTACTGACTCCTTACTATTTCTGTAATTCATTCATAATTGAATATGTGCTGCTATAATTTAGGGCTCAATTATTGGAGTCATGGGTGTCAAAGAGATATTTTCAGCTGCTACATATTGTTTTTAGAAGAAAACGAGACTTTTTTATAATTGCAAAATCTCTTTTTTCAGCCATTAGGTTTTGTTTGCTATTCGTAATTGAATAGGCGGTTAGTCTGCAAGTAACATAGAATACTTTGAACATTGAAATCAAAACAAAATATGGCATACACTATTTTTTAAAGAAATGATTTTTTTAATATTTGATCTTTTTTCATAAAATATTTCAAAATGGAGCAGTGAATAAACTGAACACCATTCAAATATATCCTAAACATCAAAAATTATTCTGAAAAATGGAATGGGCAAGCCAAGTTTTATTCGACAGTGACAAACTGTTTGAAATTTTTTTGTTATCCAAAAGTCGGCTGAAAGAGTTTCAAAATGGCACTTTGTTGATGATATACAATGCTTCTGTGCAGCTGCTGATTTTACCTTAAAAGCACATACGAGCCAAAAACTGTTTTGCATACAGGGGCAAAAAGTTTTTGCGGCATGCTTGAAGTTCTAAACCAAAAATAATTAATCTTCACAAAAATGTTGTTGGCGTCTCTATAAAAAATTTCAAAATTATTCACTTCAAACTATATAAACGGAGTTTTGAGCAAATTTACTTAGACTTTCTGTTCTGAACATGAAATTCTATAAAAGACCTTCTCGTTCTAGGAGATAAATCTCCCGTTTTATACTGCTGCCTGATTTTAAGAAAGCATTGTTTTCTTCTTTTCGTGACATAGCATAGTGTTACAGCGTTCATAGGGGTTCAACATAATCGCATGGCGTTTACATTGAGAAAGACAGATTGAGTGTTCGAAGTCCTGTTACGGCAATGATAGTGTGTGAGGACGAGCTCTCACTTTACCTTCAGTTCAAGCGCACCACGGCGTGACCGATTTGGGCTGCAATGATAAAACCACGTGAAAATCTAAACGCAAATAAACGGCCTTGAGGCGTAAAAAAGAGCTTTGCTCAACGAAATAACATATAGTCTACAAAGTCAAAAAATTATTTAAATAAACCGTTAAAGCCTTTTGAAAGCTCCTCTACGATTCGCAAAAACCACATGTACTGCGATTATTTAAAGCCATTTATCCACAATAGGAAGGACCAACATGCGTGCTGTGCAGCTCATCACGTCGAATAGCCGTTGTGCCCCTGCTTAATAACTACATGTAATTTTTTGTTATTTTTCTGAGCTGGGTAATTTGGCCTAAGCCTCAAGCCGCAAGCACGAATAATCTTGGGCCTCGAACATCCGACCGTTCAACTGAGATGCGGAGACGTAACCTTTTCACCTCTGCTCAACATAGTATTTTCATTTTTTCTCAGCCTTAAAAATTTTCTCTTAAAGATATAAATTTCGAAACTACTAGCTAAAAAAAAGGAAATTGCTTGTTGCTTTAAAAAGTTCGTTGTTTCAACTTAATATCCAAATTTGGCTTCTAGCTCGACTTGAGGGCAGGCCAGATGGCGTTACTGTCTAACGCTTTTGTGAAAAGATGCAAAGCTTTATTTTAGTTTCAGTTCTCAATTGTTTATTGTTTGTTTATTTAGTTCAAGCTGCCAGCTCTTGAACGATTTTGCCTTGAACGATCATATAAAGACCGTATATACTGGAATAAGAATATCTAAAACAAAACCAACCCCCCTCTCACCCCGCCTCATTCTTTTGCAAAATAGAAATTCGTTTGCTACAGATAAAAAATTCGCATATCTGTAGCCGTTGAATTAGTCCTTTTTACCGCTGGATACTCTTAAGTACACCGGCGTGAGCAGAAAATTATCTAGGGGGGGGGGGGGGGGGGGGGGGGCGGTGGTTTTGGTAGAAGAATTTTTAATTTTTTTGACCTTCTTTGTTTAAGCTCGACCACTTTGATTTTTCGAGCTCTCCGAAAGTACTATAAGGACCCTCTTTTGCCAAACTTGAAAAAACAGGCTAAAATTGACGTTTTGAACGCGTTTAAAAAATTTTTATTTGACCGAAAATCGCGTTTTTTTGGCGCGCACTAAACCCCCCCCCCCCCCTCTGCAGAATACTGGCTAAGAACCATATTAAGGAAAGGAAGAATTTGCAATGAAACTGAGTTCGTTTACGTTTATCTAAACGCCAAACACCCCCCCCCCCCCCCCCCCTATCTGCAAATATAACCGAATGAACATAATGTTTATGTTGCGTTATTGATATGAAAATTTGCAAAGCATGAAAACTTATCCCACATTTGTTTTTCCAGCATAACCTTGAAGGGGGTGACGGTAAGGTCAAAGCGCCGGTAACTGATATCATTTTAAAATATTGTGAAAAAGCCAAGGCGTTCAAATTGTTTATACTCCCATAATTTTGTTAAATTTGTGACATGATGGCTATAGTTTTAGCTTTTTTTTCAACTGAAACGACATTGAATTTTACTGCTGACTTAGTCTGTGTATATAAATACACAATAAAAATATGGATTCAGGAAAATATACCATCGCTTTAGAAATAGCAGCAAAAAAAAAGAAATAGCAACACAGTTTCTTAAAAAAGCGTTTTATTTTGCAGACGGTGCTCTTTGCATATATTAAAAAGCTTGTCAGACCAATGTTCTGAATATATTTGATTATTTAAATAATTTTCAGACTTGGAGCGGTTTATAAATTTAGCTTCACTAATTCCATTGCCAAATATTGGCCTTTCTTTGATTCAATTTAGCAAACATAGAAATTCAAATTTTTCTAATTAATAGTTTTTGCGTTATGTTTCATCAATGCGTACCGAATCCCTTTTTGGCAAGTACACAGTTATAAAAAATACAATGAATTCACTCTTGAAGGTGTAAAATGTATTCATTATTGTGTCACCGTAACAAAAGACCAAAGCGCCGGAAATTACCTGTGGGGAGACTCTTTTCTAACCGATGTCTATGACACTTGATCCTGTAATTGTTCAGCCAGCCTTAATGTCTGTTGTATTAGTACGTTAAATACGGTAACGGCACCTTAATTCTAAAGGAATGAAAAGATTTGAAATCTTACCTTATTAAATTATCTTCACGCCGCCATTGGATAAATTTCATGGTTTTTGCGCGAAATATATTTATTTTTATAGTTGACAAGCTTACCGTTGTATTCTTGGCGCCACTATACCATCATAGTGAGTCACTGATTTTCAAAAATTTAACAGGACATTTCTTTTCAAAATGGTTAAACCACTTCACAAGACCGACGGAAATTCAACAATTGAAACATTTATTATTTTTCACTGAACTCAGTTTTGTTGACTCCGATTTTGAGCAAATTAACGACCATCAGTGCTAATATTTATCTAAATTTATTCATAAAAATGCAATAAAATTTTTGGTTTTTGCATTGAAGTTATATCGAACTGCATGATTTGGAAAATTTGTTTTGTGTTTAGATTTGTGCAGATCTACGAGCAGTCGATTACAGGGCCATAATTTAAACCCATTGAGTTGATTCATGGTCGACGATTTATTGTCCATGAATAATTCACGATCCCAGGAATAAAAAAAGCATCGACACTTGAAGCGAATCGAAGCGCCGTTGCGAAACTGCAAAAGGAAATTATATTTATTAAATCCAATTTCAACTGCTCATTCCCAGTGACCAAAGGTTATTAATAAAGTCCATTTGGTGAAATAAATAAATCCGGCCGTGACATTTACCCAAAAGTCTACAGGGTTTATAAACTTTATTTGTTGTGATTACAATCTAAATTGCCAAAATTTTATAGCCAGACAGCCAAGGTAATTGTGGGTTATTGTTCAACCGGTTGTTGTTATTGATTGACAAAAAGTTAATTATTATTTTCACATTATTTTCAAAAACCCAGTCTGTCCCAAGTGAGTAAAAGTAATTGAACAAATTTAACCCAAATTTCATCAAAATTTGGCCTCGTATTGTTCAACTGTTTTGCAGAAAAGTTTATTCTTTTGATTTGCCCTTTCTTTTACATCTCCGTAACCGGATTTTATCAAGAGCCGCGCTGGTACACATTAATCATCATCTACATTTTCCAGTTTTTGGGTCAAAACCAGTGTAATTCCAGTTGAAAGGTAATCAATACTTTACTGGGTTTTCACCTCTCAAATCGGATTAGGAGATATTAAGGAGTTTTCTTATCTTTTTTGTTTTACAATACTGGGATACCTGAACCTGCCAATTTCACTGCATTTACGTGTAATTTGCCCATTGAAAAATTGTCATTTTGGTTATTTTATATTCCATTTTTGGTTATTTATAAACTCCGAAGATAACTTCTGTAGGCCTCACTGGATTACAAATAACACACAACCGTTATTTAAAAAAATACTACGAATAAATACTAATAAAAAAATTTCGAATTTTTCAATAGAGGTGACTAATCAATCATCTATCCAGCTTTTGTTACCTAAAAAAAGTTCAGGTCTGCTGAGTCCCTGAGGTGAGCTGATCACGCTTGTAAACCATCGAATTCAATAAAGTACCGCTTGAAAGATTATATTTCGATAATTCAATTCACCCAAAACACCTTTCAGCTCAGAACAGTCCCCCTCAACACTAACAGGAAAAGTTAGGCATAACACTAAGCTAAGGATTACATAATACCGGTCTCATTCCAGCACCTTTCAACGTAATTTTCTAACCCTTGTTACTTTTATTACGTAATATTGGATCTGAGATTATTTCAACTTGAATTTTATAGCCAATTTACTTTTGGTAGGTTCTTATCAAACAGAGACGTTGGTTGGAACCCCCAAAGTTTCTGTGGATTTCGTGACTCAATGTTTATGTAGTTTCGAGGAACTTATTTGCCTAATTAACTCTTAATACAGGTGACAACAACATTTTTCAAGTACAATTTATTCAAAATTTACACGATTTTGTCAGAATTTACAATTTCAGCTGTATTTGCTGTACCAATTCCTGGCTAGGTTATCTTATAGGAAAACAGCAGAGTTTACCGAGTAAAGAATTTATTCCAACAATTATCGGCTTTATTTTGATCTCGCATTGTAGTGGAAATCAACAAAGTCCCAAATCATCATCTTTAGTTAAAATTTTATTATAGCAATTATTGATTTTTCCCTTGGTGCTAAGCAAATTCTCCAAAATGGTTACCTCACAAAGTGTTCGGCAACCAATTGTCATCAGCTTTATTGGTATTTTATGGTCATGTTCTATGTTTTTATCGACTTTGGCCAGCCAGGTTTACAAATGTCACGATTTTTGCGTGTGTAATTCTCAAAATGGGATGGCAACTGCGAATTGTGAATTCCGAAACATCGACCAGATTCCGGCAATTATGAGAATTGACACGAACGACGAAGAACTGGGAGAGCTTCTTCTCACAGGGAACTCAATTCCGAGGCTTAACTCCAATTCCTTCGACGACTACCGGTTCTTGAAGAGCCTTCAGCTATCGACGAATTCAATCAGCTTTATAGACGACTCGGCATTTAAAAATCTCCAATCGATTGAAACAATCAACTTGAACTTCAATAACTTGAAAGATTTACCGGTGTATAGCTTCATTAAGGCCAGGCCAAGCTCGAGTGATGCCAGAAATCTGAAGATCTCGATATCACACAATCCTATTCCGTGCTCCTGTGAAATAAATGCAAAGCTAAACACTATCAAAAATATGAACGAAAAAATTGAGCAAATTTTTGTCACTTGCGACGACAACTCAAATACAATTCAGGTCGAAAAGTATGCTGAAAAAAATTGCGATGATCCTAGCGCAAGCGTGGATAACGAGTATACAAGAGCCACGACTAAAGTAGCCCCAACACATGTCAAAATGGACCCTCCTGAAAACCGGATTGAGGACTCGGGCTTCACGACTCAAGTTACTAGCCCGCCGTTGAAGACTTCGGTTCACCCGAATGCGAATGGAACTGTGAGCTACCCGACTTTAAATCTGGAATCGGGCGAAGTTACAATAAAACTATGGCATCTTTTGGTTCTAGTTGGAAGCGCAATGCTAGCTTCCATGTTAGTGATTCTCGTCTGTTATTTAGCCGTCTCGCGACTCTGTAAACTCGGCAAAGACGACAACCAATCAACGTCACCGAGGCGTTCGCTTTATCTACCAAACTCCAACACGCAAGATCTTCAGTTCACAACTTTGAATCGGATTCACACAAGTCAAAGCAACGGTTATGTTCCAGTCGGTCTTTACGACAACTTACCGCTCACCGGAACAGCTTACTCAACTCTGTCTCGGGGTCCTTACGACTCATCCGAGTATATTTTGGGCAACGATTTGCAACGAAGAAGTCGAAACAGTTCGCAAATAAGCGCTAGTGGGAACTTGCTTTACAGTACCGATAACGTCATGGCACCGACTTGTAATAACATTGAAGATTTTCCCGATTTCACCGCATCCTGTGAGGTAAAGCCGAGACTAGTTCCGAACGGGCACATCGAGGCGAAGTTCACCGCGAACGGCAAGCTCCCAGATTTTTCAGATGTCAGCAACGCCAACTACATTCGACCGAATCGGGAAAACGAATTATTTTTCCTTGACCGAAACGATCCCAACTGTAGAACCAATTCTAACTATGTCAATTTTGGTCCAAGAGAGGACGATAGCTCAGATTGGCTTCATATATAAACATGAAAAAACCTTTTGAAAAAACTTTAGACACTTATTTTGAAAAACTGATTCGATTGCTTAGATTAAAGCTTTTATACGCATTGATTTTGGTATTTTCGAACAATCAGCAAGAGTAGTTAAAATAAATATTTATAATCAAAATTTACTGATTTGAAAAGTTTATGTATTTTACTTAGTTGAATTTAAACCATAAAAATAACCAAAGTTTTATAAACAATGAGAGCTAGTTTTTACCACAAAAACTCAAATGAAAAATTCAACTGATGAAAAATTTTGTAAAAGAACTTGAAAATATCGATATCAAAACAAAAAACTCAATTTTTGGTTTCGAACAAATCTAGTATACAGTCGGTGTTTTTTTAAGGTAAAGTAGATCGAATTATGTTTATCGCTACAAAAATAGTTTGTTAATTGCTAGACTAATCTAAGAATTGTGCTTGTAACTTGATCTCGTAATTTTTGTGTATTTTAGTCTGAAAAAGAGAAAAGTGCAGGCCAGTTTTTCTCGTCACTGAGACAACTTTTTTGAAATTTTCATTTACAATCCGACTCACGACCATATATGGCTTTAATTTAAGTCCCTATTAATTTGATCCCCTACGAATTTTTTTGAATTAGTCAAAAGAGGGCGCAAAAACCCATGGCTCTAGTCGGACCAATAAAATCAGAGCACGATTAATGAAAATTTTGGAAGAAGACACGGATATTTATGCACAAAATGAAATGCAGCGTGCGGTTGTTTTTAAGAACCAACCGAGCCATTAAAACATCAGCGCAATTTGAACTGGCGACAAAAAACAATAATTAAGCGACAGTTTAACGAATTCGGATTGTTTTCATTAAAGAAGATAAACCATATTCTCAAAAACGTAACACGTTTTTCCTGCAATTTTACTATAAAGAAGGCTAAAGCTTAAGCATATTCGATAGTAATTGAAGGAAAGACATTTTGGAAAACAGTACATTTCCAATAAGCTGATATTTTTGGGATCCAACATCAGTAGTTTACTATTTTGCTCATTTTGATAAGTTTTTTAACGTGGTTTCACCCCTGAGAATTAGCCGAAATAGCAATACACTATCGACAAAATTTGTTATTGTGGCAGTGAACATCGATAATTCATCAATGGCGATTGCTCTTTTTTCCAATTTTTATCGCTTATTTTCAATGTGAACTCAACCCGAGAGCCTATCTTACGAGCATGAGTACAAGTCATTATGTTTACATCACAGCCATTATTGGTTTTTCAAATTGTGAGTAATTAGTGAGAAAGACCTACCTCCCACTCTTTCAATTCGTACTACAAGCTGCATTTGGTTATCTTGTTATCCAGCTAAATGATACTGTTGATGTTTTTTTTTGCTTTTCCTGCTCTGATAAATGAAAACTGTATTGAGCTGTCGGTTATGTGTTGATGTGTTGTTTGTTTTTTGGAAGGCAGTTTTTTTTCGAATGCAGGTATCTGTGTAACCAATCAGTTGATGGTTCTTATCGTAGACCCAGCATCGTTTTTTTATTGAAAAATCAAAAAAAATTTCTGTCAAACTTTTTTTTTTCGTACAAATGAGTTTAGTGCGGGTAAAAGATCACTGGTAAAAAATTGAAAATTTATAATGATTATTTGCTATCAAATGAGTTTGTAGTTTTGGAAAAATCAGTAATACTTTGTGTATGGCCGTGATATTTTTGAATTGGAAGGTTGTTGTGTAGTTTTGTCGTGCTGAAAAGATCGGCATACAATTATTTTTGTATTTTCAACCCAGCCAGTCCAAACTTTGCAAAATGAACATCCTCGAAAAGCGTCGACTACTATGTTATTGTAAAACTCAAAATGAAAATAAAAACATCTTCAAAAATTAAAGCAAAAAATTGTGATATAGTCATGAGGCGACTTTCTGTACCTCACTCTACTCTATGTATCTATGTAATTAATTATCTATTTAGTACAGTATGGAGTACAGCAGTTCTTGTGATTGAAGACAAAACTGACATATAATGATTTCCGCCTATCTGGCAAAATTAATTGGTGAAACTACAGTTTTTGTGAGAATCATGAACAGCACAGTTTTTTTTCCGCTAACCTTTAGGATGATATTTCCTTATTTAAAGTAGATTTTGCCCCAGCGGACGTAATTGACGATCCTTGTTCGGAGTCAGAAGCAATGGGGACCTTAGAATGGCAGCAAACAAAAACAAGACTGCTCGCATCAGGGCGAAGCCCTGAATGTTCCGACTGCCTTTTAAGGTCTATTGAGCAGTAATAACATGAAACAAATTAAATGTAAAAAACTAAAATTAAACTTTTTAAAATTGAGATTTTTGTGAAAATCATCCCCCCTCACGCCATATTGAATACAAAAGAATAAGTTTTGCTCCTTGTAACAAATCAATTATGGCAAATAAGCTTCTTTCAACCAATTTGGAACGATTTCTAACATGGATTAAATCTCCGCTTACGCGTTAATAGCGCCAAATAAATCGCGCGTTAATTGTCCCAAATTGACCAAAATGGCAATCTTTAAACTCCCATAACTTTACAAAAAATGATCACAGGTGAAATATCTTTTCAAATTTAAGGTCAGGAAAACAATACCTTTTGAATGCTGTAAAATCCGTCAAAAATGACTAGTTAAAAGTCAAAACTTGTCTGAAGAAAAAAAAACTCACCACGAGCACAAATATTCCGTTGCTTTTGTTACGAAAGTCGGAACAAAAAAGACTGCGAGATGAAGCAGCCGCAAGGAGAGTGAATGAACTAAAAATAGTGAGACGCGGAATTTAAATTGAGACTCATCTTCTCATTAGAGAATGAAGGAATGCGAATGATTACAAATTCCTACTTAAATTTGGATTATAACGCTTGAACCTTAATTGAGTTTCACAAGTTGTGTGTAGACTTATTCAAGAATGACCGAGATTATACATATAAAACACATCGACACGATGTTTTTGAATAATAACGTTTCGTTTGTGTAGTTTTTCTCAAGTCTAAATGACGAAGCCGCGGTATGCCCAAGAGAAAGCCACGCTCAAAAAAACTTAAAAACTTTAATAGGCCGTGCCCGAGACGTAGGTGTTCAGCAATAGTTAATAAAAGAAAAAATTGATCAGAACGAGGAGTTTAAGATCGCCCTGGAACTTGAGAAATAAGCCAAAACATTTTCAATTACTACTGCCATACAATCAGCCATTAATGTCGAAACAGCATAAGAATCAAGTTCGGGTCGGGTCAAATAACTGTCCCAAAAAACTTCAGTATCAAAATCAAGCTGGCAAAAATAATACTGCGAAAATTCTTTTTCGCTAGAACACCGGAGGTCAAACGCTCGTAAAAAAAGAGACACTTTGCTAAAGTCTGCAATTCCCCTTAAAAACGAATTAATTTGGTGCATCGAGAAGAAAAGGTTGAAAGCGATTTCATCGACATCGAGTGTGATAGCTAGCCAGATTACGCAATAACGTCAGTAGAGGTGGTGACAAAAACAGTGTTGAAATGCTGAGAGCTGACGGAGATAAATTTCGTAGTCTCTGTAAACAATTTCAATCAAGCGGTGGTTTTTCTATGCAACGATCGTTACGGGAAACCCCGCGTCCTTCCTGAACAAAAATGTTGGAATTAATTTTTCGCGAAATAACCCGAAAACCCAATTCAGATGTGTGAGGGTAACTGGTATGAACTAGGTACGTAAACTACAAAAAAAACCGATCAAACTGTTTGGTTCTATCCTTAAGGCTAGAAGGTGCCAAGAGCCAATTTCTTAGTTCCAGAGAAATTCCTAGTTCCAAAATCTGTTAGTATTTAACTTACATTAGTACCTGGGAAAAACAGCAGCTCGGAAAATTTGCAGGAGACCAGCGTGACTGAGGAAGAACAAAAGAACCTACCTCCAGTTCTGGAAAGAACATTTGGTAAAAAAAGTATGGCCAGGTCTTTAGCCGTTTAAGTGGCTCTAGATCTCAAAAAATATTCACTACTTCAAAATTCTATTGGACTCATGACAGTTAAGAGAAAGAAAATTAACTGATTATAATGACGACCAAGCCGCAATGCAAAAGCAACATTAGTAAAGGACAAACACAGACAGAATTAGAACGGAATGAACCCGTTAGTGCTCTGATTGTTCTAACCGCAAACTCAACAAACTCAAATTTGTGAGTGTTCAGATCTAGCAAAACAGATATCAGATACCAAATATGCTCAAACTTATAGATTCTGCGGCACAAATCATCACTAAAGATACTCTGTATCTTCAACATTTGTGTCTTCAGCATTTTTTGAGGTCAGACAACCGGAACAAATAAATTCAAGACCAGAACCTCCGGACTCACGGACCCACCCAAAGAAACCAAGAAAACGATGGAATGAACCCTCCACGACTTTGAATGAGTAATTTGTTATCTGGAAAACATTTTAGTTTTAAGTAAGCAGTCTTATTTGGCTTGGATATCAGAAAAATGAAACCTTTTATTCGTCGAAATTTTCAAAAATTGAGACAATCAAGTCGTTGAAACCTCCGAAAACGCTGAAGCAAAAGTCATATTTCATGTGCACGTTTTTATCCAAGATTTTATCCACGCTTTCATCCAAGATTTGCACAAAAGCACCCTTACATTCCCACCATTGCTTAAAGCATATAACAAAAAATCATTTTTGTGTTAAGAGGAGCAAAATGACAATTTCTCGAAAATATTGAAACTTCTGGTATCATACTAATCTAAATCACTATGAATCATCCAATGTTTCTCGAGTAGAGTGCAAGGCTACTCTTAGCGGGCTAAATGTGTGTTCTGCTTTAAATGGTAACTATGCTAATGGGTCTTACCAACGAAGCTTAATTTGGTGCTTGGATAGGTTAAGTTCGTTCGACCATGAAGTAATAGATATTCCGGCTACTTCCGTGGGAATTGTGATCTAAATGTGCCGACAACTTTCACACGAGGCACTCAAACCGTCTTCGCATGACAAGCTGATCGTTATCATGTCAATTCATGCATTGGATAAAGCAACTATTTTGTATGTTCTCAAGAACACCTTAAATCCACTATAAATAGCACAACTACGAGCTCGTTAAACTCTCTGTCAATCAGATCTTCTTTTGTAATTTCAGGCAAAAACAGTCAACTTTCTTCCAAACTTTTCAATCAATCAGAATTTTAGAAAAGTCACATCCTTTTGCTGCT